GGGGGAGCCTGGTGGGCTGCCGTCTATGGGGTCGCACAGAGTCAGACACGACTGATGAGACTTAGCAGCAGCAGCAGTATATCCACTCTTTCCGATTCTTTGCCCATATAGGTCATACCAGAGTGTTGAGTTGACTTCCCTGGGCTATGCAGTAGGTCCCCATTATCTATTTTATAGATAGTAGTATGTGTACATCAGTCTAAGTCTCCCAATTTATTCCTCCACCCTGGCTTTCCCCCTTGGTAACCGTAAGCTTGTCTTCTACATTTGTGACTCTGTTTCTGTTTTGTTGTAAAGAAGTTCATTTGTACCATTTTTTTTTTTTTTTAGATTCCACATATAAGTGATCCTAGGCTTATATATCTGGGGAAAACCATAATTCAAAAATATACATGCACTCCAATGTTCTTTAAGGCACTATTTACAGTAGGCAAGACAAGGAAGCAATCTAAATGTCTCTGGACAGAGGAGTGGATAAAGAAGATATGGTACTTATATACCATGGAATATTACTCAGCCATAAAAAGAATGAAATAATGCCATTTGCAGCAACATAGATAAACCTAGAGATTGTCATATTGAGTGAAGTAAGTCAGGCAGAGAAAGACAAATAAATGAATAGGCAATTTAATCAACAGAAAATCACGTCTCTGTTTCCCTCACCTCTCCCCCACCTCAGGGTAAAGAAGACAGAGGGGAAGAAGACAGGGAGAGGGAAGAATTGGAAAAATAGCTTTCATCCTGAAAGTTGGAAGTCACAAATGCAAGGTGACTTTTGGTCCCTGAAAGCTTCTCCTGCTAGGAGCTGTGCTGAGGGTGCGCATAGAAAATGTGTTTTTCCTACACCGTGGAGTCTGTTCTCAACCAAAGAGGCAGTCATCTGCCTCCATGTTAGAAGAGTTACTTGGACCGTTGCTCTAACCACTGATCAAGAGACTGTGGACTGGTCTCCCAATGGTGTCTTCCTAAGGAAATGTGCTGGAACCATGCCTCTGCCTTTGTTATCTTTTTAAATATTTAATGCACACACAGTTATAGGTGGAACCCTGTGAGTGACTCAGCAATGGCACAGCTCTACCTTCCTCTACGGCAAGGGAAGTCACTGTACTCGCTTCAATGTTTATTGTTTCCCGGCTTTAAATAGTTCTTTCATGGGGCTTCTCTAGGGGTCCAGTGCCTAAGACTCCGTGCTCCCAATCCACGTCTAGGTTTGTTCCCTGATCAGGGAACTGGATCCCACATACGGCAACTGAGAGCTGGTGTGACCAAATCAATACATAAATATTAAAAAGTTCTTTCATGACGTATGATTGTATATTTAATTAAACAATGTATTGCGTAGATCTGTTTTGGAGATTGGAAGTATGGAGCTGTGATCTTATGGGGTATTCTTTTCTGCTCTGTGTTGCAGTGTTTTGTTTTGTTTGGATATGTTTTCACCCTCAACATTTTTTATTTTTTACTTTGGTTGTGCTGTTGCGGCTTGAGGGGGTCTTAGTTCCCCGACCAGGAATCGAACCAGCACTGGTTGGCTGTGAAATCGCAGAGTCCTGACCACTGAACCACCAGGGAATTCCCTTTGGTATCTAACATTTCAATCTCTCGGCAAAACATTATTTATAATGACTCTCTCAGAAGCTTGCTTATTAAGAACAACTGCTTTAAAGTGTGAATTTCATTTGTGCAAATAAATATTTAATCTCTTAATTCTAAAATGGAAAGAAAAGCAACAGATGGCATGTACACATTATATGCCGAGATGCTCCCTCAGAGTTTGGAGAGAGTCTGGAGCAGTGTAACGTGGACCAGGCCAGTTCCCACACTGATACGGCGCTGACCTCTCCTCCTGTCTCGTCAGCTCACAGAGTAAGGCTGTGTTGAGTCCTACCCAAGGCCACAGGTGGGAGGCCTTGCACCAAGGCCTCAGAAGCAGAGCCCAGAACCAAGGTCACCTCTGAAACTGACTGAGCCCCTTTGTGACCTTGCCAAAAGCCCCCTGGATAATCACTAACAAGTCCCCTTTCTCCCGATTAAGCAAAGATGCCCACTCCGGTAAACACCCTATGGCACCCTAACCAACCACTTAATGCCACACTTCCAGCAGGACTTTCCTTTGTCTTTAGGCATAAAAATTGGCTATTAAGTCACAAAGACTGTCTACGCTCCCTGTCAGAAGGCCAGCCTGCTGCGTTTGCAGTGCCGCTTTATCTCTGCTCTTTGTTCTTAATAAACTCACTCCCTTCTGAAATGCTCTGTGTCTGAAAATTCTTTTCCAGCCCACACTCAGACTGCTCCAACAGGCCAGAGCCAGCTCCTGCTCTCGTAGAGTCTTGAGATTCACCTTGGATTTGGGATCTGGGGAATAAGTAAGTCCACGCTCACTGCCATGTTCCTCTCACATTTGTGAGCTGGGGTGCCCCACTTCTTAGCTCATTTCCAGTCTGAAGAGGCCTTATCTTTTGATCTGGTCTTCATGGGAGCTTTGGTACAAATGTCAAGTGTGTTGTGTGCTCACAGGATTCCATTATTGTTTTCCCCTTAAAATTAAAAAAAAAAAGATGCATAATACAATGTTTACTATTCAAACTATTTTACAAAATGCAGGGACTTCTCTGGTGTCCAGTGGTTAAGACTCTGCTCTTCCAATGCAAGGGGTGTGGGTTCGATCCCTGGTCAGGGAACTAAGATCCCACGTGCCACGCAGCATGACCAAAAAAAAAGTACAGCCAAGAGGCATTAACGGCATTCATATTCTCCTGTAACCATCACCATCTTCCATCTCCAGAACTTTTTCCTCTTCCCACACTGAAGCACGGAACCCATTAGACACCAACTCCCTGTTTCTCCCTCACCCCCAGCCCCTGGTGACCACCAGTCTACTTTCTGTATCTGTGGATTTGACTCCTCCAGGGACTTGTGAGTAGAATCATAAAGTGTTGGTCCTTGTGTAACTGGTTTATTTCACTCTACATCATGTTTCTAAGGTCCTTCCATGTTGTAGCACGTATCAGAATGTCACTCCTTTATTAAAAAAAAAACACTTATTTGGTTGTGTTGAGTCTTAGTTACAGCACACTGGATCTCGGTTGCATCACGTGGGATCTTTGGTGGAAGCACGTGGACTCTCTAGTTGCGGCTGGTGAGCTCAAAAGCTGTGGTTCGGGCTGAGTCTCTCAATGGCACATGGGATCTTAGTTTCCTTACTAGGGATTGAGCCTGTGTTCCCTGCATTATGATTCTTAGCCACTGGACCTCCAAGCAATCCCCAGAACGCCACTCCTTTTTAAGGCTGAATCCTATTCCGTTATATGGATAGACCATGACTTGTTTATTCACCCACTGAGGGACACTTGGGTTGCTAACATTTCTTCACTGTCATGAATAATGCTGCTATGTACATGGGTGTACCGATTTGAAACTCTGCTTTCAAATCTTTTGTGTACATTCCCAGAAGTAATAAAAAAAATTTTTTTTTATTATTTTGGCTACGCTGGGTCTTCCTTGCTGCACTTGGGCTTTCTCTAGTTGTGGAGAGTGGGAGCTATTTTTCGTGGTGGTGTGCGGGCTTCTTACTGCAGTGGTTGTTGAGGAGCACAGGCTCTAGAGCACAGGCTCTGTAGGTGTGGCTCACGGGCTTGGCCGCTCCGCGTCATGTGCCATCTTCCCGGGCTAGGGATTGAACTCGCGTCCCTTGCCTTGGCAGATGGCTCTCCAACTACTGGACCAGCAGCAAAGTCCTTCCTTAGACTTTCAAATCACTTTGTTAAATCAGGAAAAAAATCTGGTGTTTCCTGTGTGATTTGGGCTTCCCTGGTGGCTCAGATGGAAAAGCGTCTACCCACAATGAGGGAGACCTGAAATTTTCGATCCCTGGGTCGGGAAGATCCCCTGGAGAAGGAAATGGCAACCCACTCCAGTATTCTTGCCTGGAGAATCCCACGGACAGAGGAGCCTGGTGGGCTATAGTCCACGGGGCCGCAAAGAATCAGACACAACTGAGCGACTTCACTTTCTTTCTTTGGGATGTTAATGCCATTTTAAAAATTGTTTTTTCTCCCCTTGAGAGCATGGTACAGAACAGTTCTCCACATTACTGAGGAGGACAGCGGTTATCAGCCTTTTAGTGGTTCTAGATATCTTGGAAAATCTGATGAAAGCCATGAGCTGCGTTCCCAGAGAAATGTGTCGACATGTGTGCTCACACATGCACACACACACACCCCCAGAACACTGACTGCGCATCTAACTTCCAGGGGCCCAGATCCCTCGCTGCCCACTGACTGTGACCCCCCGTGTAGACACTGGTCATGAGAAGTGGGATCTGAGCACACCTGTACTCTCTGGGGGCTCGCTAAGGGACCTGGCCCCTAACTTCGGGTGCCCTCCACGCGCAGCTCTCCTAATTCCAGTTACCTCTTCCCGCCCCGTCGTCATGGCCACCAATGACCGAGAGAAAGGGGCAGCATCTCAGTTCATTTCTTGTTTATTATGAAAGTGATTTTTCACAAATGTTTCATTACATGCATATGTATGAGCATGATGGCGAAAACAAACTGTTGAATATCTGAGGCAGCTAAAAGAAAAAGGCAGTTACGATGCTGTCTGTCACTCTTTCGGGCAGCTCCCAGGACAGTATAGCTGGCGCCTTCGTGGAAGCCCACGCTGAAGGCTGTGCGCACAGGGGTGGGCTCCCCGTCTGTCCCCCATCCCCCTGCCCCGCTCCACCCCCTGCCAGCGGTGCTCAGCCATCCTGTCTCTACAGGAACAAGGGCTGGGACTGCCCAGACTGTGTTAAGGTTTTGACCTCAGTGGAATAAGAAGTTTCCCTGCAGATCTTCGTGGCCTCCGGACTGCAAAACAAAACACTCGGCATCAGCCAGCTTTCTTTTCCTCCTTTTCCTCCATGCTGTCGGGACACCCAGAGCCTGGCAGAGGGGCAGGTCTGGAGGGGCGCTGGGTGTCTTCCAGGGCTGCGTGCGGGTGTCGGCACCCAGAGCCCCTCAGTCTGAGCTTCCCTGTCCCCCCAGGGGGAGAGGGCAGAGGCCCATCTCTGTCCGCGTGTGCTTTCGGCCCTTGTTCCCGAGCAGAGCACGGGGAGAAAGCGTGAGGCCACGCACGACCATGTCGCCTGGGTGCTCCTGGTGTCCCCTGCGCGGAGCCAGGCCGGCCAGCCCGGTGACTGCAGCTCCGGGTGTGCCTGCAGATGGCACACGGCCAGTGCTCAGGAAGGGCGGGCGGTGTGCAGGGTCGGGGGGCGGCCGTGGGCGGTAGGAGCTCTCGCCCCGGCTCTCCTTGGGTGACCGGCAGTGTCTCAAACATCGAATCTTTCCGCTCTCGCCTGAAGGACACTGGTTCGGGGCTGTGGCTGCCCCCACGTGTATCTCTGGAGAGGAAGAGGGGCCTTGGTCCCGGACGCGGTTGACCAGTCCGACTGAGCTCCCGGGCAGGGAGGGGAGGAGGCAGGCACAGCCGCGGCCCCCTGTGAGAAGGGCACTGACTGTGCCAGGCACCCGGCCAGGCAGTGGGCGAGGCGCCGGGGCGGAGATGGGGGTCCTGGGCGTGTCGGCCCGGGTGCTTCTCTCTCTGTGGGTGGAGAGGGGCGGCCGCTCCGTGAGGCCTGGCTGGCTGCAGTGTCTCCGTCGGGGTGTCTGTCTCGAAACTGTACAGTAGATTCTCCTGCTCTGCCCCTCCACCCCCACCTGGGGTCCTGGGAGGCGAGGAGGGAGGGCTGGCTTTCTCCCGACGGTGGTGCTGGGCTCTGCCACCCAGGCCTCCATCTCTTTCCTCTGTGTGACCAGAGGGCCGTCTGGGGGGGCACCTGCCAGCTCCTGGGGGTCTCGGTCTCTCTAGGAGCCTGGCACACGGGAGGTGCTCAGCACACGTTTGCTGAATGACCTGACTGAGTTCAGTCTCGGGGGTGGTGGTGGAGATGCTGGAAGGATTATTCAGGCCCCCGAATGGCACTTAGGCGCCTGCTCCAGCAGCTGGGGGGGCTTCCTCTTGGGGAAAATGGGTGGCTATGCCTGTATCTCTGGGGGAATGAGGGTGGAAAACGCGGGTTTCTGAGCGGTGTTGGGAAGAGGGTCTCTGCCGGCCATCCCTGCCTGGAAGCTTCTCGGCCCGGGGTCTCAGTTCTACTGTATCTGCGTGTCCCAAACCCACGGCGGCAGGAGGGAAAGCTGCCTGGGGCCACCACCTCGGTCCCCACGGTCTCCTCGAGGCGAGGAGGAGCTGGGAGAGGTTGAGGAAGCAGGCCCGTGCCCCCGGCAGCTGCGACTTGCTGTCTGAGACTAAAGGAGAGCCCTGGCGGAAGGGGCGGCACCACCGCAAGGCAGCCGGAGGCTCTGGCGGGGCTAACAGAGCGTTGGGGGAAAACGGGCCTAACTCCAGGGAAGCAGGTGGGCGCCCTCACTCCCTGGCGGAGGGCTTGGCCACCAGACCAGAGCAGATTCCTTCTCCCCACTTGGTGCATTTCCACGGAAGCAGAAAGCCAGGAGGTGCCCGGCCCACCTGGTGGAGGTCCCTTGAGGTCTCCACCGCGCCTCTGCAGAGCTGCCCCGGTGGCCCCAGCTCCATTGGGTCAGAACCAAGCTCACTGGAACCACCACAGGCCTTGGCACCTGCTTTCAGTCCCAGCCAGCCGGGCAGACTTCCGCTTCCAGAAATATGTTGCTTGGCTCTTCTCCGTAGAGTTTAACGATGGTCTGCGCAAGGCGGGCAGGGCGGGCCCTGGCTGGGCCGGGGCTCTGCGGCTGCTCAAGGCCAAGCTCCCATCCAAGAGTGGGCTCTGCTCCTCTGGCTCAGCCCGGGGAAGCTTGGGACTCCTGCGCCCCTGTCCAGGCTTCCTGCCCTCCTTCAGAACCCCGTGCGGAACCTGCCTACCTGGGCCAGGCCTTCTCTGCCTCCCTTTCCTCTCCACCTCCACCTGGAGCCAGGCGGGATGGCCATCCTGGATCAGCCAATGTACCACCTGCGTCCACAACGTGGCAAGGTGGAGAAACAAACTGTGTGGTCTGGAGAGACTCCCCCAGGACTACCAGGACCCGAGGAGTGGTGACAGCTCTCAGTTTAACAGGTGGGACCCCCAGGTTCCTCAGCTTGGGACTGAGGGCTGACGTGACATTCGGGACAGACCCCGCCCTCCCCCGCCCCGGGACTTCCAAGTCCCCTGATGGTGTGGGAGGTGGTTTTACTGGGGAGGGAGGGCTGGATGCTGACTGTGGGCGGCTGGTCAGTTTGGACTGCTGGCCCCGTGGCACTCGAGATGGTCAGTTGGGGTCCCTGTCCTGTCCTGCCCGGGGGACGGGAGGCAGGGTCTGACCTCAGTGGCGTGGTGAGCCATGGATGGAGGTGGGGGCTCCCAGTGACAGGGTGGGTAGGTTAGTGGGTGTGCGGGTGGCAACTGCCAAGAACCACCCAGAGGAGCAGCAGAAGGAGAGCTCTTTCTGGGTCCTCTTTGGATCAAAAACAATCCAGAGAGGATTAAAAAAAAAAAACCCGCAAAAATAACCCTTCCCAGCGCCCTCCCCTAGGTGGCTGTTCTGGGGGTTCATTTTGGAGGATGCTCGTCTAATTCCTGGGGAGGACGATGGCTTGATGTGGAGGACAGGGCTCTCTCTGCAAAATAGGGCTGGCCTTCAAGGGCCGTGCCTGGGACAGATCGGGGGGGCGGGGGAGGTGGTAGCGTGGCCTGGACAGGGCTCCCCAAGTGATACTGACCTGCTGACCAGGTGCCGCCCCTCCCCGCTCAGGCTGGAGTTTGGCTGAGGAGGCACTGGTGGCAGCCCTGGTCAGGCTGGGGACTAGCCACTGAGGATGCAGGTAACAACAGTGATTCCTGAGCGCCCAGCCCCGTGTGGATTGTAAACCTGGCTGTGACCACCCCGGTCACCCGGCCCCGGCCCCCTGAGGCCTCACACACCCGCCCCCAGGTTTTACCCTCAGCGCCTCAAGCTGGGCTCGGCCCTGGCGGTGTGCGTGGGCCTGAGGCGAGGAGGGAACCGCCTGGAGGTCGCGGGGGACAGGTGATGGGAGTTCCTGTTAGGTCTCCCTCCTGCTCCTGGGATGCTGGACATCTGGAAGCCTGAAGCTCCGGGACCCTGGGCCTGCGTGTCCCACATCCGGCGGCCACCGTGGGGCAGCAGGCTAGGCCTCGGCCTGCCGGCGGTCCTTGCTAGCTCCATCCCAGGCGCTGGCTAAGCAGGCTATGGTCAGCCCACTCACACTCCAGACCATCCTTCTTTCAAAGAGAGACAGGGAGTGCGAGGCCGCCGGGCGGAGCAGGAAGAAAACCAGGCCCCTGTTGGCCAGCGGCCTCCATGTGGGGGCCGCGCCCACCCCTCCCGGTGCCCGCGTGCCTGCCTGGAGGCGCTCACGGCGGGTGGGGGTGAAGCCTTGCCTCCCAGTGGCCGGCGGGCTCAGCGTGGACTCTGCAGGCACGGCCTGAGGTCAGACGCAGGCCCCTTCCCAAGTTTACCGCTGGGCCCTGCGCCCCCCCAGGAAGGGTCCAAGGGGGACAAAACTTTGCAACCGAGGGCGGCACCCCAGGCCCCCAGTGTCTGTCCTCCAGTGTGTCCGGGGCCAGCTGGCCACCTCCTCAGTCCCACAGGCGCCTGGCCTCTGTAAACGGAGGGGCCAAGTGCCTGGAGAAGCCGCTTCCTCGGTCAGGGGCGTCGGTGATAGCTGGGCTCACGCTGGCTCACGGGAGAAGGGGTGGCGGTGCGTATGTAGCGTTACTGGAGAGCAGTTCCCTCCGCGCCCGCAGATAGAAGTATATATATCTTTGTATTTATATTTACACACACACAGTGCTCAGTTAGAGGCTCTGTCCCGGGGAAGCACCAATCCACACTCTCCCCTCCTAGCTCCTCTCTCCAGTCCCATCAGAGAATCCTGAGACCCCGACAACACACTCGCTTGGGGCCTGGGCCCCGTGACCCAGAGGTGCCTGCGGGTGTGGACGCTCTGCAGGTACTGAGCCCGGCTTATGGGAGCCCCCAGCGAGCCTTCACGCACCCCTCCTTCCACGGCCTGGCCTCCCGTCCCGGGTTCTGCCTCTGAGCGCCTCCCTGAGACATGGCAGCCATGGCCCCTCCCTCCCCCAGAGTGCCAGGCCGAGGGCACATGTGCTGCCCAGCTGGTGGCCAAGGTCCCGGCCCGGCGGGCATCCCCTGGGACCGGCCCGGGAGCAGCAGGCGCTCTCAGAGTTCTGGATGGGAACAGGCAGAGCAAGGGAGGGAGCCAGAAAGGCTGCCGTGAGCAACGTTCTCCCACTGGGGCGGCGACGGAGGAGGGCAGCTGGGCTGGGGTCTTGGCCTGGACGTGGTCTCGCCATCCATGGGCTGGTCGGCGGTTCCCAAGCAGTGTGGGGGGCCCGCGGATCTGCCTTCGGCTTCGACTGTGGAAGGGCTCTCCCCTCCCCGGGCAGCCGGCACCCAAGCAGGGCCGCCATCCCCGCGTTACTTGTAGGGCCGCAGGAACCGGGACACCTTGGAGCGCAGTAGTTTGATGAAGGAGCGAGGAAACATCTCTTTGGACTCCTGGGCTGTGTACTTGAAGTAGTTCTGGGGGTGCGCCAACACATCGAAGAGGGCCTTGATCAGCTTCTTGTCCTGCAAGACACGGCGAGGCCTGGCATGAGGGGCCTGGGGCCAGGCTGGGTTGGGGGGGCCCCTAGCCACTCGCCTCTGCAATGCCCGGGGCCCTGAAGGGGCCTGGGGGTGTCCGCAGGGACACAGCTGGGCTGGCTGGTGGGTTTCAGGGCCCTACAGGCTCTGCCATACAGAGTGATGCAGTTTTAATAGCCTGACTGGGTTTTTTAAAAGTCTCCTGGCTTTAACTCTTGGAGTTCCACTGACATTTTATCTCAAAAGTGTATGCTGCAAAAACAAAACAAGACAAACCAACTGTGCTGAAAACGAGAGCATGTGGAGTGGAGAGTGAGGCTTTGGAGCTGAACCGATCCCCCACCATCTCCCCCTACAGTCTCCCACCATCGCCCCCTACAGTCCCCCACCGTCTCCCCCTACAGTCCCCCCGACACCGCCCCCTACAGTCCCCCACCGTCTCCCCCTACAGTCCCCCCCACACCGCCCCCTACAGTCCCCCACCGTCTCCCCCTACAGTCCCCCACTGTCTCCTCCTACAGTCCCCCCAGCATTGCCCCCTACAGTCCCCCCACCATCTCCCCCAGCTCCTCAGCCCTGGGGATGGCCCTGCTGTTCTAAGGACGCATGTTTCACCCATGAGGAGTGATGATTCCTGTCTCAGGGTGAGGAAGGGCAGAACTGAGAGCCAGCAGCCCCGCCCGGGGGCGCTAGGCACAGGTCCGCCGGAGGGTCCAGGTGGCCGGCACTCAGGCACTGTCACTCACCAGGTGGGCCCCTGTCCCAGCCCAGGTGGCCATCTGTAAAGTGGGGCGATGCCAGCTTGGAGGAGAACCCTCAGGGTGGGCCTGAGGTTGGCTGTGGCCCCCAGGGCCCCCAGGCTTGGTAGGACGTGCTCAGTGACCGGCAGCCACCACACTGCGTACTTCCTGGCCCATGTGCTCGTCATCTCCACTGGCCGTCTTGAGGTGTGGCTCGTCCCAGTATGTGTGTGCGCACACACACACTCCCACGTGCACACACGCATCCACACCCCAGGAAACACTGATGGGGCTCCTTCCACATGCTGGGTGCAGCACCAGGTGCCAGAGACACAGGGCTGAGTGGGAAGCCCTGCGGCTCCTTCCCCCTGCGGGGAGTTGGGGGGAACCAGGCAAAAACAGGACAAGACT